GAGGGTGCACAAGCAGCCACCATGAGTGGGGAGGTGTTCTGTGGGTGTGCGCACGCTACAGAATACAAGATCCCTGGGATCTGGGCTCCTCAGGAGAAAAGGCTGTGGGAGTGGGAGTGACATACAGGTGCATCTTGCAACCTTCCCTGCCAGCTTCCCCATTGACTTTGTTCATGGGAAGCTGGCAGGGAAAGTTGCAAATGGCAATCAAGAACCACAGGATGCTGCAACTGTTTTAAGCAAGAGCCGGTTGCCAAGCACCCAGATTACAATCACGTCACCACAGGAACGCTGGACCTGCTGGAATGTCAAAAACCAGTCGTAAGTACTACTCATTCAGTGCCATTGTAACTTTGAATGGTTGGGGACACTTCCTGTGGGAGTCACGGCAAGCTGACGTCCTGTCTGTGGCAGGACAGCATTTGTGAGCATAGTTATGGCTGGATGCTAGATCCGGACCAGCGAAATCTCTCTGGAAAAGGAGAGATTGTTGAGATTCCCACATGGCTTCTTACAGCTGCTACTCATGAGTAGACTGCAGAAATTGCCATTTTGCGGTCAGCTTATGAATGGAGTGGCTGGGAGTCGGGATTTCATCAAGCTCACACTCGCAAAGCAGCTTTTTATGGACATTAAGCTTGACTGACCCTCATTTCTTAATCACTTTTCTGGAATTATTATTTGTTTTTGTTTACTGGAGATATTAAGACTCTTCGGATCAGGTTTTACTGCACTTATCGGGTTAGTCTCCTTAGAGAAAAGAGTAAATGTGATTTTAAAAGCTTCAAAAATATATGGGTTTTTTTGGACTATGCATCAAAAGGGTGCTTGGTATATGGATTTTGGAAAGTTAACAATGGATTAAGAGGCCAGAGGGATTTGGAATTATAGCTTTAAATTAATTAGAAGATAATTTCTCATGGGAAAATTGCGATTGCTTTGGCTCTTTAAGCTAAGAGCTTGAAGGTTGGACACTAGAGGGAGCTAGAGGGTAAGGAATATGGAGCAGACACAGAAATTGAAGCAGAAATCTATATTGCATCTGTTTGAATACTTTTCTACTAAACTTCTTCTTAGAATGGATCAGTTGATTGACAGGTTGGACAGAGTGTGTTGTAATGAAGATATAGAACAAAAACAAATTGCACAGATGTTTATAAAATTGTCTTGAAGGGGGACTTAAATGTAACACAAATGGATCTGATGGATGACCAATTCCCTAAAGGAGTTGTACAGATATTACACCAGGAAATGGATCTGGATAATTTTTTTTATTATTGGATATTCAAAAGAGCTCTGTAAGGTTTTGAAGGACTTTATTAGAAGTGACAAACGAAAGGATAAACTTTACTCATTGGCTATACAAACAAAATTGGTGCAGGTTCAGAAAGATTTTTGCCTTGAAATGCAGATAATCAGCAAATTACCTCTGGAACTCTTTTTGAAAGGGTTAAAGAATATTTTTAAGAACTCAGGGAAGGAATACAAGGTCAGCTTGTTTGATCAGGGCTAAAAGAAGAAGATAGTTCTGGTGGCCCTTACCGGACTTTTGCTGACAATGAACGATTGACAAAATATTTGGATTTTTTTTTTTTTTTAACCTAAGAGATGAGCTATGGGGAGAGATTATGTTGTATTTAGAGATGGTTATAAGATATTAAAATTGTTTCTACTTGCTGGGATAAAGAGGGAAGTTCTTTCTTTTTCTTTTTCTCCTTTTTTTTCTTTTCTTTTTTTCTGATCTGCCTCCCCTTCTTTTATATTTTTTTTCTGTTTGTATTTTTTGTAGCTTGTATTGGCTTTTAATCTTTTCATTTATAATTCTTAATAAACTTATTTTTTAAAAAAATAACTTCGGTCGCTGAACGATCGGTTGTTAATCAAGGACTACCTGTATAAGTTGATTAAATAAACAAATAAAATTGTCCAGTTGGATCTTCATGTTGCTTCTTCATCCTTTATCTTTATTCATGTGCCCCTCCTTATTCATGTGTTACAAAAACCCAGGAAGTCATCAATGTACTGAGAAGTTGATTTAAGATCCTGGTTTGTTCTGAACCTGGTAACCCCAGTTCTCCAGTTCAACAACAACCATGAACTAAAGTTCACTTAATACTTTGGGGGTTAACAATGGTATACCAAAAGGGAAAGGGCAAAAAAACTGCATGCATAGGAACAGGCAGGTTCCTGTGTGCTTCCCACCTCGAATAACTGGCTGTTGCTGAGAACAAGAGATATGATGTTGTCCTACGTCCTATAATGGGACAAGTGAAGACCTGTAATATAATCTGCAATTGTACTCTGAGGACTGTACTAATTTGGGGTAGTAATAAAACATAAAATTTAATGATTGTTGTTTCTTCTGATGACAGCTGAATTAATTCCTTTTCATTAAAGCCATTTACTCTGTCTCTCGGGTGAATAAAATAGAGTAGCTGTCCAATGAAGCATGCCCTTCACCAACACAGTTTTTCTGAAAAGACAGATGCAACATTCCTGTCCCAGGAAATCCTGTATCGGTTGCTGGGATTTTAAAGTCAGCCAACCCCATTTTCTCTACTGCAAGCCAGGGGATGCGGGGCGGGGGAAAGCAGACTACAATTGGAACTGGGCTAATGCTGTAAAAACAAAACATATTTTGAGAATACAAACTAATAAGCAAAATTCGTAACATTTTTTCAAAAGGGGGAGAGGAGAGAGACAAAGATTATAAGAGAAAGTAGTCATAAGCCTCTGACCTACAGAAAATCTGGTATGAATAATTACTAAGCAAACAAAGCCTACTTTTCCCTGTCCTTCTTGGTTAATAGTCATACTTCAATCTTTCACGGAGTTGAGTTCTTTTTTAAACCCAAGTTTATTATTGTCACTCTTGGAGAAAGTCTTAAAGGTTAGTTTCAACCATTAATTTTAAATTGATCCTGATGTCCTTTATTATTCCAAACCAAATCATTCTTTCTATACATTTCCCAACCATTTATCTAGCTGAGCATAAATACTGTAGTATTCTGTTCTGAAGATATCCAAACATTTGGGCACTTTTCATTTCATAAGCATTCCATATTTCTGTATTCTTCCAGTTTGACTAATGTTATACTAAGGATGCTGAATATTTGCAATTTTACCCAGAAATCAGTGTTCAGATGTACAACTCATTATGGCTGCATTCATGTTCAACCTTGTATTTGAATAATACTCCTTGTACTCAGAAGGCTTATTTCTGACTAACCAAATATTCTAGAACTGTACAATGAGTAACATCATCATATTATTTCACCATTTTAAGATCCTGTTTACTTTTGTTTCATGTAACTTTATACACATCCTCTTTGAAATGGCACCATTACTTATATCAAGGATGTGTCTCTATTTTGGATAAAGGCCAAATATTAAAGTAGGTTGCTTCAGAAATATTAAGATCTCCTCTGAAGTAAAATAGACTAAACCTGTAAAGCAGACCTAGTTTATAGGGTCAAGGCAGTGTCAGAACTGACTTAGACAATTGCCACAGAATTAAAAATAGAAGCCACATTCCCCAAAACAATTCTTGATGGCAGGTTGCCCTATGCCAGAAAACCCTACCCTAGGAGGGGCTTGGTGGGCTAAATATTTTCTCCGTTTATACGCATAGGGAAAATAAGCTGCACTCCGAGAACAGCTGGAGCAAGAAGTATGTATGGGGGAGGGTGGGGATACTTCCACAGCAAGATCCTGTAAAATCAGGCCTAGCCTGAAACAAAGGTGTCCCATTTTCAAAGTGGTTTCGGGAGCCTTTTCTTCTGCTTTGCACTTGATCCTGAGGGAAAAAATCTACACTTACTTCTATGTCTGTGAAAATCCTGTGGTTGTGCTGAAGAATAGCATACATGCAATGCGCAACTGTGATGGCATGTTTCCAGTTGTGATAGGGCACCCGACGGTAGTTCTTCTTTACAGACATCGTGAAACGACATAGTTTTTCTAGGTCAAAACTTGAAAGAAAAAAAGGAATTGGATGAAGCATACGGAAGGAAAAGAGAAGAGTACTTTTAATCAAAACTTCTATTTACTTTTTTAAAAAATATCTTCCAGTATTAGCATTACAAAAAAAATGAACTTTTCAGTGGATTTATTTTCTCATCAGTTGGGCCAAGTTATTTCAGTTCTACAGTACTGCAAGTGCAAGGTAAGAGGTTATATTGAAAGAAGTAGAGGCATATTCAAGTGTGAGTTCAGAAGTTTCCTCTCTTTCATTTCCACCCAAACCACAATGATAAATATATATTTTCATGTATTGCAGATATACATTATGCAAAATATCTTAAGTTCTCCATTCTTCTGTCAGATAAATTTCCTGCATTCTTCATATTTTCAAAGCATTTGGATAAAAACAATTATGGCAGATTTCTCTTAAAATGCCTCTATTTATAGCAGAGATTAGGTCACACTTGATAATGGCTAACCAGCCAGCAAATCAACAGAGGAGGAGACTTTGGATGCTAAATCAGAAAAAAGGCAAGGAAATAATCTTGCACCTCTGCTTGAATAATGAAAATAGGCTGTCATTAGTATCTTTGTGGGAGATGGACTGAAAGAAATGGGAAGAGTTTTGAGAACCTAGGCTTTACTTTGCCATCTGTATCTGTTAGAAATGTATTTGTGTATGCTTGCTATAGTTTTCCAAGGAAGCCAACGTATATTTCTTACTCTCAAGCAATTTCAGTGCAGATGTATGAGAAGTGTGGAAATAAAGATAAATAGGCTCAACTTTCTTCTGTTGTTAGGCAGGATAGTATTTTGCACATTCCACTGAAAAATCTTGAGAAGCACATTCTAACTCATACATGAGAACGGAACAGCAGAACTGCATGTCCATGTCAGAGTCCCACAGAGCTTTCAGTTAGAACCCTGAAATTTGAAACTGAAAAAGAAAGTAGCTTTTGCTTTTTCTTCTTCTTCTTCTTCTTTTTTAAGAGTAAGCATTTTAAGTGATAGTCACAAGTAATCATGCTAGTTGAAGCCCTACATTTCAAGAATTTGGTTCCTAGAGTAAATCATA